GAAAAAAATTGGGACTTAAGTACACTGAATAGAACCATCAGAAAGAATCTCACATATTAGTAGCTGCTTAGGACTGAGCAGAGATATATCAGGGAGTTGTCAGTTTCTTTTCATTAAAGCCCAAACTCTGCCATACCAGACCTCTGCTGAATTGGTTATCTCCCCACCCCTACTACACCTCTTCCTTTATTTCTTAAGATGCCCAGAGTCCATATTTATGGTCCTTTCTCCTGTGCTCTCCTTTGTTCATGGTTCTTACCCATGTCTAGTGAATATGTGTTCATCATCTAGGCAATGGTTCTTAGCCCTGGCTACATCAGGAGTAACTGGTGCACTTTTAAAAACTCAGCTGCCAGAGATTCACTCAAACAAACTGAATGTGGATTTCTGAGAGTTGGGTCCAACCATCAGTATTTTTTAAAGTTTCCCAAGGGACTGTAATGTGCAGGCAGGGCTAAGAAGCACAGCCCTTATTGATTGGTCATCTGCCTGTATCATAGAGTTTTGCTGATTCCAGACTTTTTGAACTCAGGGCACTAGGTAGGTGAGTATTGTAGGTGGAAAAGGGTGGGTGTTGTGGATGGTAAGTAATAAGCACTTGAAAAAGTGTCAGAAGGTAAAGAAGACAAAAGAGTTGTGGTAAGGGGTCCTAGGAAGGCTTCTGTCACAGCCATTGTGGATGGGTAGAGTTTAGGAAACGCTGATGAGAGAAAGAGCTTTAAGATAAATAATCTATATTGGCATTGCTTCTGTTCAACATCATTTGTTGAGAACCTTTTGCACCAGCTCCTGTCATAGGGGCACAAAGATAGAAGGAAAAAAAAAAAAGGTCCCTGCCATGTAATAAATTACAAGTGTAGAATTAATAAAAAGAAGAGACAAATAAGAAAGACCTGACCAAATAAGAATAATCCTTATTTAACTACTTATGTGTACCATTTGCCATTATTACTCAGCACAAGTAGCTTTATACACATCATTAAATATGTGTTGGGCTATCTTTGTTGTAACTTGTATTCAGTTGCAGCAGTAGCCTCTGTTTATAACTTCTTAGCCTTTATGTGGTCTGTTTGTGAAGAGTTTAAACAAATTGAAAGGAGACTTCCACCTGCAACTTCCCTTAAGTATTATGTGTGAAGTAAATGTCTATAATAGTTTTTGGCAAATGCATTAAATAAGTCTTCTCATCTTCTTGTACACCCCCCCCCCCACACACACACACCTTGCCAATCCTTGGCCCCACCACATCACACCTAACACGTTTTTCTAATCATAGCCTAAATCAAAGTATTTTTCTGTGCTTTGATGGGATAGAAATGGAAGAATTAAAGAGAAACTTCTCTAGTAGTAAGGGTCACAGGGCATCTGTGTTGGGGGGATGGGGAGCCCACAGTCCTTCTGTCCACTAGAAGCAGCATTAAGTACATCTCCACGGTTTCATGCCTGCTTGTCATGTGCTTCAACATCAGAATTCACTTGGAAACCTGTCTTAATTTTAGCATGTGTGTAGTGTTTGGGGTAGGGCTTCCCACCAGGAGATCACGGAAGCATAGAGGATGGCAAGCACTCCTATTCACTGAGCACTGACTTCCTCTTCACACCAGTGTTAACAAATAACATCAACAAAGCATAAATTTGTTCCGCCTGTTTTGGTGCTTTGTATAAATGGTATCATAGAATGTGTATGGCTTTTATGTCTGGCTTCTTTCCTTTAACACAACATTTGTGAGGTTCATTCATTTTGTTGGGTGTAACTGTAGATCGTTTACCTTCATAACTGTAGTGTTTTCCACTGTGTGAATAAACTCAAATATATTTATACGTTCAACTGTTGATGGACGTTTGGGTAGCTTTCAGGTTGAGGCTATTACAATTGCTGCTATGAGCAATCTGATACATGTAGTTCTGTGAATGTATATATGTATTTCTGTTGGGAATATACCTAGAAGTGGAGCTGTCAGATAATAGGATATGTGAGCATTCAGTTTAAATAGATAACTTGCCAAACAGATTTCCAGAGTAGTTGCACTGATTCTCTGGTCCATCAGCAGTGTATGAGAGTTATGGTGCCTCTCTTTGTTCCTTTCCATCTTCTCATTTTAGGCATTCTGGTATATGTCCAGAATGCAGTATGGTTTAATTTGCATTTTCTTAGTGATTATGGAAGTTGAGCACCTGTTGTATTCGTTGGCCATATACAAGTAATTTTTGCCACTTGTTCTAACATGATTATTCTAATAACATATAGACAAATTTCTTATCCTATTTTTTTCTCTAGCTATTTTCATACCCCCCCCCCTTTTTTTTTAACCAATATAATGTCATTGGGAAAATAAGTTCCCTCCTTTTAGGCTAATCTAATACAGTTGTTTTCTTAAATTGTTGTTACCTGGTAGTAAAGCGAACAACATTTTTTCTCTCAAAACAAGAGGAAGATTTCACTAAAATTAAATAACCTGATATATAGTAAGTGTGAACAGATTCAAGGAAGATTATGCATAGTCATTTTGGAATTTGAATAACTAATGTAAGTCTTTGGATGAGAGAAAATATTTTACATCAATTATATCTTCCTCAAAAGGCAGTCAGCCTTAATACTAAGAGAAGGAACAAGCCTAGAGAAGAACCCACCCTGATGGAACTTGCTTTCTAAATGACAATGCTGTTCTAGAGTTGATATGACATTGATAAAGTTGATTTAAATCAAATGAGCTATTGTTTAATAGGCCTTTTATATTATTGGAATTCAAGGCTGCCAAGCTCTTCTGTGAAGTACAGTCATGGAACTTCAGAGAAGCCTTCCATGGTTAGGTGAGTTGGATAAACTCATTAAACTAACAGAGTTATTGGAGCATTCTGGGCTCTGCTAAAGACCACACGGGCAGTGTGACAGCCAAGAAAAGAAAGGCTAGAGAATAGTAGGAACCACAGAAATAAAATAAGCTAGCTTGTCTGGCCCTGTCCTCATTTTCTTATTTTAAGCAAATACCTAGTGTATTTATTGCCTGACAATGACTGACAAAGGTATATAAAAAGTTCTGGCTCTTGGAGTGCCTGGGTGGCATGGTCACTTGAGCAGCCAACTTTGGCTCACGTCATGATCTCATGGTTTGTGAGTTCGAGCCCCGCATCAGGTTTGCTGTTGTCACCACAGAGCCCACTTCAGATCCTCTGTCCCCCTCTCTTTCTGCCCACCCCTGCTCTCTCCCTCAAAGATAAATAAACATTAAAAAAGAAAAGTACTGGCTCTCCTTTTTGGAGAAAACAATTTAGTTGGTTGCATATTGCTGACTGAAACGTCATGTCCTTTGAGGCATCGATGGGATTTAAACTGATCCCAAGTCTTTCCAAATTGCTTGCTTAGTTATTTTTCTATACAGAGAATATTTTTATAAAAATGTATAATTCAAGGAACAGATTTCTCAAGGGCTTGAATGCCTTTGAATGTGCTACTGCATTGACCAAGCGTGAACACAATGCAGATCTCTCGTCACTTGTGATATACTGGGCATTGCGGCTCGACTGTCTACTCTCTCATCCCTATGTCTGTCCATCTATCATTACTGCCATACCATTTGAGTTTTGGAGGATTTGAGATTTTGGAGTGGACTTTAAGAAATAGATGTATACTTGAAATGTTTATCTTTTGGCATCTTATCAAGGACTTGCTAACATAGGTCCTGCATAGGGAAGAGGAAGAAATGAGAGGAAAATTATGAGAAAAGAAATGAGTTAGAGCCCCAGTTTTACAGTTCAGTCCTGATTCTGCCCAAAAAATTTACTGAAAGAATAACTCCTGAAAGGTGTGGGTGTATATACATACATATATATATGTGTGTATATATATGTATATATATGCATGTATATACATACACAGATATATATATTTACTTCTTGTCCTAGGGTGTCACAAATTTGAGGGTAAAATGTATTTTGGAACATCAAAAAATGTGTTGAAATACAGTTTCTGCCATTATAAAATTTGTCCTTAGATCCAATATCAGGTGTGTGTGTGTGTGCGTGTGTGTCCATTTTCACCCATTACTTCATGGAGATGATGGGTGTGACAACAAACAAAGAGGAAACGAGACAGTTATTTCTCCTGGTCACTGGCCTTTGCTTTTAAATTTTTTTCTGGTCTTTCAAACTGGTATGTTTCCCTCTGCCTCTAAATGGTTCATGTTTCAAAAACATTTTGAGAGAATTGTTACACTGTGTTTTCCACTCCATGGTGAAAATCTCTAGCTGTATGTCCTACAGAAACTTGGTATGAGTGATGAACAGGAGTGAAGGGTCCACAGAAGAGACCACCTGATGGATCTAGCTTGAGTCCTAGACCTGTTCTCTGACACCACCCTCTTTTCTCCATCCCTTCTGGAATTGCCTGAGTTATACCATCATCGGCAATGAACTCTTTGTGCTTTAAGGAGGGAGAGATGAGAATCTGTTTGACTTTTGCTGAAGTTAGTCTATTACCACCTTGAGGTAGTAGCAGATGTTAACTACCTGGAAGGCACAATGACCTTTGATTTGAAAGAAACCAGCGCTTTAAAGTTTCAGATAATTATGTTTGAGATAATTCACAGCTGGTCTGGGGCCTTCGCCTCTTTCATTGACAGTAAGCCATATTTTAACTCATCCCCAGATGTACAAAGTCTATTCATTGACTCAGTGAGTCATTAACTGCCTTTAAAGTTTCATTAAAAGCAGAGACATTGCTAAAGAGCTTGTATTAGTCACCCTTTGATCCAAGTTCAGTTAGACATTTGAGGAGAGAATTGATAACGTAACAAATGATGTCAAAAGAGAGAGGCTAACGTAGCTATCGGAGTCTCCACTGTTCAGGTCCAACAAATACTGAAAAACTTGTTGGAATGGCATCCGGTCAGCAAGTGTGATATGCTGCAGGGGGGATGGATATTATATTACTGAATATGATAGTTTATGTGAGCTCACATGTTTGTCCTGTCTCCTCCTCCTTTCCCGGTCTTCCCTTCTAGGTCATTCGATGCTGTCACCCCTTCCACATAAATAGCACATCTGCTCAAGACATAGAGTTTATTTTGAAGGACACAGGTAATTCAAAAGCTATTTATGTCTGAATAGTACTTACCTAATTTAAATAGCCCAGCAATGATGAAATACTAGCATAGCAGAATCTAAAATAGTTTGGCCCAGCTTATTAAGTTGTTATGATGCACATTACAGGCTCATTTGCTATAATTAATTAGTGAAGAGAGGATAGAGCTTCGGCCTTAATTGCTTCTATCTAGCAAATGTTTTTGAGGAGAGTTCATTTATTAAGAAGAGCCTCACTGAGAAGAATACATAGGCAAAAAGTTCTTTCTTTTGTTCTTTCTTCACTTCATATATTTTTTTCCAACGCTATTATTTAAAATAAATTTTTTAAAGCTCTAAGTAGAAGCAAGTGTTGTGTTCCTTTGCCAAGCAGTCTTTTTCACTAAACTGACATTTCCTAAAATATCATCTTTACATGCAGTGTGTTTTTCTCCCACTGGTTGCTGGCTGACCTTTGTGCTTTTACTCTTTCGAATCCTTAGAGCATTTAGGGGATAGAGTTGGAAGCCATGATGGGATTCATTTTCTCTCTCTCCTTGTCAAGCCTCCAGAGCAGGATAAGATGATGAGTACAGTCAAAACAGCAATACAAAACCCATAGAATAGATATACCACGTGTTGATATCAGTCCCCTGAACTAGTATTATTATTTTTTATGGATATTCATTTTTTACATGTCAACATGCAAACAGTAATAATTCTTTCATTATTTAGCTATAAAAAATTTTTGAAATGGCTCTTTACATATATTATTTCATTTAGTCATATTCTAAACACTGAAGCTGGCTGGGCGAGATGCTGTTCCTCTCCGTTTACAAATAATGGAACTGAGATTGGAAGATGCTAAGGGATTTGGCTGAGAGCATGCACCTGTTTAGTGGCCACCAGAAACAGGCCTGACTTCTCATAGTTGGCACATATCCCTCTGTACTGTTGTTGTTAAGGATTTTAAACATGCAGGAAATAGACAAAACTGATACCCACATATCTACCTCCTTGGATTTAACAAATGTTAGCCTTCTATTTATTTGCCTCAGACCATTTTTGTTTTGGCGTTTGTAATCAAGCATTGTGAGTGCATCTAATACTGTCTTTCCTCAATCTCTTTTCCCATTCCTCCTTCCCTCCCTCAATAGTCCCACAGTCCTGAATTTGTTGGGAAGCATTCCCATGCAAGTTTTCAGATTTTACTCTGTATGTATCTATCCATGAACATATATAGTATTATGCTGTGCCTTAAAATTTCACACATATGGAATCATATGTACCATGTCACAACTTCAGTTTGGTCCTATGTCTTCAGTAGTGTGTTTCCAAAATTTATCCATGTAAATCTAGTTCATTCATTTCAACAGGTGCACAGTATCCCATTGTATGAACACACCATGTTTATTCATCCATTCCTTGTTTATGGACATTGGGGTTATTGACCATTTCCCCCTATTTTAAAAAGTGCAGTAAAGAATATCTTTGTGACTTTCCCCTGGCCAAAGGTACAATAATTTCTCTAGGTCTGAAGGATATATCAGAACTTTAATTAATGTGCACATTTGCAGCTTTCCTAGGTATTAGTGTATTTTTCTCCAAAGCATTTGTACCAATTTGTTCTGCCACAGATGGTACATAAATTCTTTTTCCCCATATTCTTTACAACAGTTGGAGTTATTAGCTTTCATATTGTTCTCCCCCAGCCTCTTCATTCCATTGGTGTATAATGATTTCTCCTTGTTTTAATTTGATCCTTATGTTTGCCTGTCTTTTCTTATATTGATTGGTTGCTGAGATCTCTTCTTCAACAAATTGTCTGATTATATTATTTGATTTGTTTCCCTATTGAACTTCTTGCATTAATCATTATTTGTAGGAATTTCACATATATTCTGGATATTCTAGCAATTATATCTTCTCCCAATTTGTGACTTGTCTCAGTATTGCTTATGGTGACTTTCTTGTAGTACAGAAAATTTTTATTGTAATGTGCAATATGATTTATCAATATTTTCCCTTGCGTTTATAGTATTCTGCCTTTAAAGAAATCTGCCTTGGATTGATGTCATAAAAATATTCACCTATTTTTTTAAAGGCTTAAAGCTTTATAGGTATTATAATAATTTTGAACTTATTTTTATGGATGGTGAGAGGTAGAAACCTACTTTTCCTTTTCCTTCATAGATAACCAGTTATTCCAGTGACATTTATTAAATAATCCATATTTTAACTTTTGATTTTTTAATTTAGTTTTCATTTTCTATCAAATGTAGGTACAAAATACAAATACTCAAGAATTCTACAGTCTATTTTAAAAATGAAAAATTGGAGTTCCCTTCTATTTCCTGCACCCCAGATACAAACACTATTTTATTCTTTTAGACTTTATAAAGTAAAAACAAACAAACAAACAAACACTTTTATCTCTTAATAGTATGCTCGTGATAACAGCTCTTAATTTGTCACATCGGGTCATTATTCTTTAACTTTAAACTTTGGAAGATGAGAGGTTTTTTTAGTTTGTTTGCATTCTCCTAAAATAGTGTTACTGTAATTTTGGTTTGATAAATATTCCATATTTACATTATTTCCATTATGTAAACTACTTACAAATGTACTATGTACTACTACAGTTTAATAACTTTTCTTTTCCTGCATATTTTTGGTTTGTTTTTATTGGAGTTATAGTCTTATTTTATTCATATATTTATTTTTTGTGTTCTTAACATAATTAGCTCCAAACTTCCTCTTATGCAAATCTCCTCTCATGTTCAAACACTTCCATTTTCTGACAATGTCATCTTTTAAAAATTATTTTAATTGAGAAAAAATTGACATATAACAAATTAGTTTCAGGTGTCAACATGATTCAATATTTGTATACATTGAGAAATGATAACTACATTGAGTCTAGTTAACGTTCATCACCTCACATAGTTACAGTTCTTTTTCTTGTGATAAAAACTTCTAAGATCTACTCTCTTAGAAAATTTCAAATATATAATATGGTATTCATCACAGTCACCATGCTGTACATATATCCCCATGACTTATTTATTTTATAACTGGAAGTTTGTACCTGTTGACTCTGTTCACCCATTTCACCTGTCCCCTAACTCTCCTATATATAAATGAGATTAAATAGTATTTGTCTTTCTCTGTCTGACTTATTTCACTTTGTGCTCTCAAGATCCACCCATGTTGTTGCAAATGTCAAGATATTATTATTTTTATGGATGAATAATATCCCATTGTGTATGTGTACATTTTCTTTATCCATTTATCCATTGATGGACACATAAGTTGTTTCCATATCTTGGGTATTATGAATAATACTGCAGTGAACATAGGGATACATATATCTTTTCAAATTAGTGTTTTCATTTTCTTTGGATAAATACCCAGAAGTGGAATTGCTGGACCATGTGGTAGTTCAATTTTTAATTTTTTGAGGAGCCCCAATGTTGTTTTCCACAGTGGCTGCACCAATTTACATTCTCACCAACAGTGTACAAGGGTTCCCTTTTCTCCACATCTTCTTCAACACTTGCTGTTTTTTGTCTTTTTTATAACAGCCACTCTAACAGGTGTAAGGTGATATCTTATTGAGGTTTTGATTTGCCAGTATCATCTTTTTAAAGACGTCTGTCTCAAAGCCTTCTCACCCCCAATCTGGACAAGTTGTTCTCTAGGTGGTAAAAAGGCTGGTCTTGAGATCTCCTGTTATCATTCTGGTAATTCCCTTTGCTTCCCTCTTGGGTTAGATTGTTTTATGGATCCCATTCTTCCTTCTCTTGCCTTAATTTCCTTAATTCATTGGAATATATTCATTAGTAACTTTCTGAGAAAGAGTACATGTTGGATAAAGTTTTGGGGATCTTCTATGTCTGAAAATATCTCTATTCTCTCTGTAACTTGGCAAAGTATAAATGTTTAGATTATTTTGCCTCAGATTACATTTTTCCTCAAAACTTTGAAGGCTTTACTCCATTGTCATACTTTTTAGTAATGCTCTTGAAAAGTCAGAGGCGTTTTGTTCCTAATCTTCAGTAACGGAAGAGTGAAAATATGAAAGAAGGCTTCCTGAGCTGCAGAACATGAGTCCCTCAGTTCTAGAGTGGAGTAGCAATAAAAGAGAATTTGAAAGAAAATAGTGTGTTTTCAGAGTCTTCTTCCTGCCTTGGAGAGGTGGGCAGGACAACACACCCATAAGGACCCAGTGCGGAGAGAAGTCAGTAAGTTGGAGGAACCAACATTTTGGAGGTCTGAGGATAAATGAGATTCCTGTGGGCCAAGAGAAGATAAACAGGTTTGTGTCATCTTCAAAGAACCTCCCTCCTCCCTTCTTGGTAGGCCAGGAGACCCCAGAAGCAAGAGTGTATGGGTGTACTTTTTGGGTCAAGATCTGGGGGGGTTCACAAGAGGTCAACCAAAAGGTGCACTGTTGCAGTGTGGAGGCTCCAAAGTGAGGGGCATCCCTCAAAGGACCCCCAAATTTGGTGCTTGCCACCCAGAGGACACTCACAGCCAGATGTCAGTAGCACCAAGGAGGGCTTAATGGAGATGTTCTCAGTCTTACCAAGTTTGTCTCACAAAGAACCACATTGTAAACACTCTTGGAGGAAGTATTCCAATAAGAAGAAAAGCAATTCTAGGAGACACAGCAAAAGATATGGAAAATAAAGATGATTAGATAAATGTGGTAAAGCTTATTTTGTCCAAAAGATTATCAGAGCCCAAGGGAAAACAAACAAACAAACAAACCAAAAACTTCTTACCTTTCCAAAAGTAAAATTCTAGATTATAGGATGGGAAATAGAGAAGCAGAGACTAAAGTGTTGAGAGTGTGTCCTAACAACACAGCTTCAAAATCTATACAATGTCATGATTATGTAAGATGTTGTCCCCACCAGAAGCAGTGTCAGAAAATATCAGTGTATTACAATATATTTGTAGTCTTAAAAAATAATATATTCATTTCAAGAGATACAGGAAAATTACTTGATAATTAGTGGTAGCTGGTGGTGAGTAAAGTAGTGGTATGCTGGAAATATAATATTAAATAACCTGCCTCCCCTTCTCTGAAGGCTGGTGAACTTCCTACAGACAACTCTACCTTGAGTGGGTGGTGGAAAATCTTAACTTTAAGTGGAAATGGAGATTTGTTTTGTTTTGTCTTGTCTCACATTGCGTTCTCTAGAAGCAGAGAGTGAGTGTAAAATTCAGAACTAACAAATTTTTGAGGAGTCTTCAGAAAAAGTCATTATGTTTAAGGATAAGAAAAGTAAAAAAGTGGGGCCAGGGTATGATTTCAGGGTACATGCAACTTTAGTTACACAACAGAATTTTCTCCCCTGGAACCAGGGTCTGACCTCTTGTACCTTTAAAATCAGTTATTGATACATATGTGGGGGGGAGGTAGGGGAGTGGTATCATGACTTCCCAGGAAAGATGGCACTTGTCAGCTGATGGCAGTTCTCCTGAGAGAATTCTCTCAGAGCCATTCATAGGCCATTTTCACAGTAGCTGAGAGAAGAATGTACAAGCCTATAAAACGGGATGAGGGCAGAGTAGTGAGGAATGACAGCTTTTACCACACTGATTCATATATTGACCTGAAAATTCTAGTTTCTGGATTAAAATTGTATTTTACAAATTAAAGTGATTGTAGGATTTTCCACATAATGTGGAAGAATAGGCATGGGATTGCTTATTTTTATCCAGGGGTAGAGGAAGATGTTCTCCAACTAAAAAGGACAGCAAACAAAAACAAAGTGGCTTTTTGTGATTATATCTCATGCATCCTGCATGCTCAATACACCCCATGTGTGCACACATACACACATACTATGCATGTATGCATATGTACATATTTCATCACATTTTATGTCACACATACATGTTTGCACATGTATACATATATACACATATGCAGACATATTTCATTTACTATCTCATCTTATATTCTATAGATTAGACAAAAACAAGTGTTATATTCTTTAAATGATTTTATTTACAAGTAGCTACTGTTAACACCAGTATTGTATAAGCATTAAGATCTATATGACTGTTATTGCCATAGCAAAAGTATAGAAGATACTCACATTTTCTTTTCAGAATTATACTTCTTTGAAATAAAGAAAGTTGAAAAGAGGGCATTTCTTTTTCTGCCAAAGATCTGGAAACACTTTGTCCCTGGATGGACTTTCAGCCAAATGAGGATCTCCATAGGAATGGAAGAAATCACACGCTCTGCTCCAGGATCCTGCATTTGCCGGGTCACATTGCTTTACTTTGGATTTCTACCATCCAAGAGAAGGTCAGTCCAAAGACCTGAGACCTACCATGGTGCTGCAGATTGCTGAGCAATGCCAGGGAATATGTCCTCTTGCATCTTTGCCAGGTAAGGATCTGAAGATGAGATGTTTGCATCCCCGGTGCCTCACATTTTGTGCCAGACCAGGACTGCACTGCAAGAAGTCTCTTTGCCAATTTTCCTTTATTAAGAAGATACTCCCTTCCATGCCCAAGAATAATATTATGGAAAAGGATAACCATTTAGCTATGTTTGACGATGGTCCTAAGGAATTCAATGGGATCCCACAGAATTCCAAACTACACATTTTTTAATTCACAAGTAAAGGATGAAAGGTATGTCAATGGACATGATAACAGAAAATGCATAGTTCTTTAGAATGCTTTACAACGTCACCAGAATGCCAAGCCATCTGTGTCTTGATGGATGTCATATACTATGGGTATATACATAGTATGCTAGCCTTATATTTTGAGCAATAATGAAACATACTTGGGAAATTGTGAAAGCAAAGCTGACCATTAAGGACTTGGCATTTCATTTTGCTGTATGGAAAGACATTTAGCATGTGGTTTTACACCCAGCATTTGGGAGTTTTTCCAAGCTCAGTGGTCCTATACACAGTCAACATCCTCTCTTCTAGAGTTTAGATAGCCCCACTAGCATTCAGAATCTTCAGGCCCACACTGAACCATTATTTTAAAGCACACTTTTTAGTGCCAGACAACAGGCAAACACTAGTGAAGTTCCAGGGAGAGGCATGTTTATTTGTTTTCTGCGGTTCAGAAACCATTTCCGTTTGCTTGAATAAGACACTGTCTAAAAGCAACTTCCTTTCTTTTCCCATGGCTCCTTGAAATGGCAAATTATTAAAATTATCAGGGCTACTGGTATGAGAATGAATGAGAGGTGATCTCATTTTGGAGGAGGCAAGGAACAGAAAATATTTGAAAAATTAACATAAATCCATTCTATGAGACTCAAGATTGTGTTTTTGGGGGGTCTTTGATAATTCCTCTCTCCCCTCCCTTGATAAACACACACACACACACACACACACACACCTTGGTTCTAATACTGCATTATTAAGATGATTCATCTCAGGCTGAAGTTCTGTCTTTTAGCCTGTATCACTACTCAGGAGAGGTCATGAGTTCAAAGAAAACAATGAACAATGAAGTCAAATTAATGAACAAATGAGTAAAGTTGCTGAAAAGAAAACTTTGTTTATATGTGAATCTCTGTGTACAGAGAGACCTGGTACATCAATACTAGACTGTTAATCAGAAAATCTGGATTCTGAACCCTTCCCTGACACCCATGTGACTTTGGGTGAGACCCACAATCACACTAAGCCTCATATCCACTTCTGTAAAATGCTGAAACTAATTACCTGCTTTACTAACTCCAAAGAATTATAGCTAAGTGTCAAATGAGATAGTGTGTGAAAATATGTCATGAACTGCAAAGTACTTTACTAATATAAAATACCAATAGGACATAAATATGTTAAAGCTAAAAATTGAATTTGTTTTCTTAACTTTTGTCCCTTCCTATTTATTTCTTGTGCCACGAGGCCTCCATTTTCTCAGTTCCTACTCATAACTGGTCTGCCTCTAGTCCCATCGTTCAAAATCATTTGGTCTCTCCTTTAATTTGAAGGCAGATAAATCTTAAATTACCATTTTCCAGGGAAATGTCTTAACTCTTGGAAGCCACTTGAGTCCCATATGGTATTTTAAAATAATAAAAATAAGATGCCCACAGTAAAGGAATAATGTGGATGCTAATGTAACCAAGATGTCAGTTTAGATCTCTCCTTTGCTTGACAATCTGGAGATCTGAATAAGTTGATTCCTACTCCCAATTCCATAGCCCACAATTGATCAAAATAATGTCATATACATTAATACATTATTGAGAGCATATTTCTTGACTATTGCTAGGTTGATCTGGACCTTTTTCTTTTAATTTTTTTTTCAACGTTTTTTATTTTATTTTTGGGACAGAGAGAGACAGAGCATGAACGGGGGAGGGGCAGAGAGAGAGGGAGACACAGAATCGGAAACAGTCTCCAGGCTCCAAGCCATCAGCCCGGAGCCTGACGCGGGGCTCGAACTCATGGACCGCGAGATCGTGACCTGGCTGAAGTCGGACGCTTAACCACCTGCGCCACCCAGGCGCCCCAGGACCTTTTTCTTTTAAATGACGGAAACTCAACTTTAAAATATCTTTAAAAAGTAAATAGGTTCACTTATACAACTAAAAAATTGAAATGTATGACTTTAGGCATGGCTAGATCTAGTGACTCAAATTGTATCAACAGAATTCTGTCTTCTTTTTGCTCTACTTTCCTCTGTTTTGTCTTCACTCTTGGGCAGTCTCTCTTCATGTGATAGACATCCTGATGAAGGCAGCCTGAATTAACTAGGATTTATTAGCAGTTAATTACTGCTGCAAATAACAAAAAAGTAAAATAGAAATGGCTTAAACAAGGTATTTCCCTCTCACATTTGGGTCTAGATGTAAATAATGTATGGCTTGTAAGACATCGATGTCCCATGAAGTCTTCAGGTACCCATTCTTACAACTTTCTGAATAGCCATCCCTCAGTAAGCCATTGGTGTAATACTAGGAAGGCTTTTTAGTTTCCATGACTCTTGTAAATATTCATCATAACTGCAATATAACCACATATTGTCTTTTAAAAAAAATCATTGTGAGGTTATCACAACTCTAGGAATATTTACTAAATATGTTACTTAAAATATTGCTAATTTTGTCAGGTTAGTGCTTTTCAGTCTTGGCTGCTACTCCTTAGAATCACCTAAAAGATTTTAAGAAAAAAATTGATTCCAAGATTTCATTGTTGACCAATTAAATCAGAATATCCAGGGAATGGGGCCTGGTTTGTTTGTTTGTTTGTTTGTTTATAGTTTTCATCATGTTAGCCTCCACAAGCAACTAAAATTAACATTGATTGAAGCCTAGGTTGGTTAATTGGTCTTCCCTAAACAAAATTTATCCAGAACGGAGTATGAAAGACACAATGGCTCAAATGTAAAGTGGTTCTTTGCCTTGTATCTAAGCACATACATGACTTAGGTGTTCTCTAATATCTCCATCATCTGCACATGCAATAACTCCAAGTATCTTCCTAGCTGAGGGTATTTGGATTCACTCTCAAGAAGGATCCAAACCTCCCTGTCTTTCCCATCTCTCTGACCTTTTGATTGGCAGGGCTTTTTCTGTTGTTTGAGCTGTGTGGTTCATCCTTGCTGATGAATAGTCTTAGCATCATTTCCATCTTGTCTAGACTAAAGCTCAACGCAGCACACACTGTTTAACAATTGAAAGAAATACCCTGATCTCAGCCCTGTCCTAGGACATGCTTCTGAAGCTCCTCCTATTTGTCTTTATACATATGCAGAAGCCCCTTGGAGCCCAGAACTTGGCCTTATACCAAGCATCTGTATCTTGCTTGTCCAGTGTCATAAATCCACCAGTGCACCTGTTTATTTAACTTGGTTCCTTTCTCAAATGACTTCACCAAATGTTAGTAACTGAAGGTCAGGTTCAGAAAAAAATTATTTTTATGGTCTGATCAGCATATTCAAGGACAGAAACCTAATGAATGAAATATTTGTGTCTCCCCATCTCTTTTCTTCAGCCATTGTTTAGAAAGCACCAGATTGGACTCTAATGAAAATGGGAGGCACCAGTTTAGAGGCAGAATCTGCATGAGCTATTGGGAGGGATGTGAGAATCATGAGCTGTCCTCTTCTGCAGCTGCTTACTATTAGCTCTAAAAGGAATGAACTTAGTGTTTCACTGAGAAGAAAAGGAAAGGAAGAGCAGGGGGTGGAAGTGTAGGGTAGCATGCTATCTTTACAAAACTGTTTTGGTGTAACTGATGAAGGAGAAGGATAAAGTTGATCCACCCATTACCATCAGGGTCAGAGTCTGCTAAAATAACTATTGGTTGAATCTCTACCTGCTTTCTCACTGCAATTGTAAATCAAATCCTGATGGGCTGGAGAGTTTCAGATACCTCTAACCTGTTAGGAATCCTGGAGTGCTAATAATCAGGTGTCCTTTTGCCCATGTCACACTCCTATGCCACAACACCCCTGCAGCTAACCAGTATAGGGTTAAGTTTTTGCTGAGTTCCTTTGTCAAGGGTGAGAGGGGACTCTGTTCTAGGCCTCCCAAAAGCTGCCTCTAGGAGCCAGGTCTTTTCATAGAGGCAATCTGGTGGGGAAAGAGCCTGTCTTTGAAGCCTGATAGATCTGCAGTTTCCTGGTTGTGAGGGAACAAGTGAAAATGACTAATATTGTGTAAAAGGGGCTCAGTAAATGATACCTGTAGCCATAGTAATCACATAGGATAGAAAATAAGATACCAGGAGGGAAATCATAAACGCAAAGTGGGTGCTGAGACAACAGACACATCAGCAGGGCAATTTAATTTAGGAAGTGATCAAAGAGGAAAGAAAACTGAGAAAGGGTGGTACCTATTGTTTTAGAGGACTTGAATTTATTCATTTTTTTCTTCTTGAATCTTTTCATCTTCATGGAAAGTGAAAATGGGTTGATTCTGATGGCAGTAATCTTTGACTACCCATAACCTAGTCCCTTTGCACAGGTCAGCAAAAAAATAGTACTACAAGGGAACTCGTTCGTTCTTTTTTTTTTTTTTTTTTTTTTTTATGTTTATTTTTTGAGAGAGAAGGAGAGAGAGTGTGCAAGTGGGGAAAGGACAGAGAAAAAGAGGGAGAATCTTTCTGAAGCAGGCTCCAGAATCTGAAGCAGCTCCAGGGGCTGAGCTGTCAGCACAGAGCCTGACACAGGGCTCAAACCCCCTGAGCCAAAGTCGGATGCTCAACCAACTGAGCCACCCAGGTGCCCCAGGACCTGGTTCTTTCTAATTATAACTCTGACCCCACTTAACTGTTTATACTATTATAAATAATTTACTGTTTTGAGTCTTGGTTTCCTCATCTGTAAAGGTGGTGAGAAATGCATGTCTTTTTCCCAGGGGGTTTCAAAGGTTGAATGCAATAGTATTTATCCATTTAATTTACTGAA